AGGCAGGTGTTTTAATTAAGCCCAAAGCTTCTCAATATCCATGTGACTGATGTTGATTTTGGCTCACAGAAAAAACCTTTAGCCTTCAGTCCATTGTATTATCCCAAGTTCATCAGTCTATAATGGTCTAAGCCTATACTTTGCAGCCAAGACAACTATATTGTGGATATTGGTTTTTCTTCTCCGCATCTTAATTTGTCTGAATTATTTATGTACTCTACTTATGTTCAGGAGCAAATCCTCCAACATGAGCTTCTGCAAATTCAGATTCCAAATAATATTTCCAGAAGAATTTGTACATCTTAAAATTTACCATCTATTTATACATATTTAGTACATATTCTACCAAGGAACACAAATTCATCTGTTTGCTCTAGTTTTCCATCATTATGCTGGTGTATATTTCATTTTTCCTGTCAACATAAGTACTTTGTGTTACTTGCAATTTTTAGATCAGTATGCCTCACTACAGATCATTTAGGTCCAAACAATATACCATCATCTGCATACAAAAGGATACAGACATCAGCATACTCCAAAGGTCACCATTGATGTATCTTATTTAACTACATTTTTTTTTTTCAATATAAAATTTTTTTTATTGTTTTTATCATAAAAGAAGAAATACATCACAGGTATTACACAATGATTTATCCCATCCCCCCACCCCCCGGACTTCCCAAACCAAACCTAGGCTAACATTCAAATACAAGTAAACAAATATTAATATCTCTAACTCCAAACTCTAAACTTAAACAATCCATCTCCTCCGTGTTAATAAAAATTATTCATTTANAAATGGTATAGGGTTTCCTGCCTGAGCAGGGGGTTGGACTAGAAAACCAACTCTGGTCCCTTCCAACTCTGTTATTTTACTCTACTCTAACATGAAAGGCTATAAGAAAAGTGCAATCTGCCTCCAGAAATTGTGAATGCTCCATTCCAACACAGGAATTTTTTAAGAAGAGACTGGACAACCATTTGTTTGAAATGGTATAGGGCAGGGGTAGTCAACCTTGACTCTTTTATGACTCGTGGACTTCAACTCCCAGAATTCCTGAGCCAGCCATGCTGGCTCAGGAATTCTGGGAGTTGAAGTCCACGAGTCATAAAAGAGCCAAGGTTGACTACCTCTGGTATAGGGTTTCCTACCTGAGCAGGGGGTTGAACTAAATGACCTCCAAGGTTGTTGTTGTTGTTGTTCTTCCTTCTTCCTTCAATGCTGTTCACTGTATTTCTCTATATCTTTTGGTCTCTACAAACTCTTTGTTTCCTCAAGTAAACATACTTCATACATTGCCTTCTCGTTTACCCCTTTTTCAGAAACCACAACGTGTCCTATCTTCCCCTTTCTCTTGACTGATTCACACTTTTCTGTGTTTCTTGTCTGAGTTAATTGTCTTTCACTCTGTCTGTACGATCAACCAGTGTACTATTTTCATAATTTCTATCCAATTCTTCTCCCATCCATTCTTCACCCTGTTTCTTCTTGTTTTATCATGCTTGCATCTTAAGAAATCTAACAACACCCAGTTCTCATGTCCATATGTCAGGCAGGCAGAAATACATTCTAGTACACAACTATTTTCACTTCTTTCAACTAAGATTCATTCCTTGCAATAGGCTACGTTCTCCCATCTGCCTTTGTTGGAGATTACATCATCTCTTTGCACCAGCCTTTTCGCCCACTAGAGCAAATGGTAAGAGACAAAAGAAGGAAAGGATTTTCACACATTGTCTTTTTATCTGCTGCTTATGTTCCTTTTGTTTGCTAAATTCACTCTCTTGCTTCCTCACTCATAGTATTTCCTTTTGTACTTTTATTTCTGGGCTCATTCCTGGAAGGAGGGAAAAATAACTATTTGGAGGGCTTCTAGGATTCCAGCTCCTTTGTCCAACTGTCCTTGTTGACTCCTGTCCTATTTTAAAAAAATGCATTTTTTCCCACCAACCTTCTTTGGTTCTGCTTGATCTCCAATTGCAGAGACCTCCTCTTTGATACACACATTATTACCAGTCCATGCCATACAAAAACAACTCCAGGAGCCTTTAACAACCTCATCCTCCATTACTTTATGCTAATGCACTTTTATACATTTACAGCTAGAAGGGAGGCGTTTTAATTAAGCCCAAAGCTTCTCAATATCCATGTGACTGATGTTGATTTTGGCTCACAGAAAAAACCTTTAGCCTTCAGTCCATTGTATTATCCCAAGTTCATCAGTCTATAATGGTCTAAGCTTATACTTTGCAGCCAAGACAACTATATTGTGGATATTGGTTTTTCTTCTCAGCATCTTAATTTGTCTGAATTATTTATGTACTCTACTTATGTTCAGGAGCAAATCCTCCAACATGAGCTTCTGCAAATTCAGATTCCAAATAATATTTCCAGAAGAATTTGTACATCTTAAAATTTACCATCTATTTATACATATTTAGTACATATTCTACCAAGGAACACAAATTCATCTGTTTGCTCTAGTTTTCCATCATTATGCTGGTGTATATTTCATTTTTCCTGTCAACATAAGTACTTTGTGTTACTTGCAATTTTTAGATCAGTATGCCTCACTACAGATCATTTAGGTCCAAACAATATACCATCATCTGCATACAAAAGGATACAGACATCAGCATACTCCAAAGGTCACCATTGATGTATCTTATTTAACTACATTTTTAAGACTGTAAAAAATAAAGCAAAGCATAGTCAGGAGGTGGTGACAGGAATAATTAAATGTTTGGAAATGTAAGATCAACAAAAAGAAATAGCCAACTGTGTAGAGGTCCAATACTAGTTTTGCTATAACATTACTTATAACTATGATCTGATAAGCAAATTCATCTACATCAGTTTTTAC